TACTCGATCGGATTAGGGCGGGATTCGGAGATCTACAGACGCAATCAGTTTAGAGGTTTCCCTTCGACTTTATATTTATACACCAAACTTATGGGCCTAACCAAATCGGACTTTATCTTCGGCCCGATTGGTAAAATATTCATATTTTTTATTCTATTTTTTTTTGGGCTTTTTGCAAAAATGTCAGGCCCAATTCTTGAAAAAATACCACCATAATAAAAAGGATGACTACATCGTTATGGGACAAAAATAGGTATGATGTCAAAGGCTTTGTTCTGGCCATACATTTATGGTCACTTGGCGCCATTTCTACCTTTGGCAAAAATTTTACTACGAAATTGGAAGGACAGAACAAGAAGTCCCATTGTGTTTAAGATGGACAAGCACCGACCACCCAAGAATTACATCCATTGTGCATGATGGTGCTGTAAGTTTCTTCTATTCCTTTTTATAAATGTTTTTAACGATTATAAGGATTTTTAAAAAAAGATTATAAACGAGTTTTTAAAGATAATTTTACACATTTTTTAATACCTTTTTTCCAGGTTATGGTTAACGCGATTCTAGGCGATCCAAAGTATTACAGTTATTTAGTCTCGCCAACACATGATGATGATGTTGGGTTGATGGAACTTGTTGATATTATTCTGCAAGGAAAGTTCAGGATATAGGCATCACACTAGATTGCTGGATCCGTAAATATACATGATATATGTCAAGGTATAGAGGAAACATATAACGCAACAACCCAGATGGTCCGCGACACGATGCAAGAGCAGAAGAAACAAACCAAGAATCGTCAGATGACACTTGACCAGAAACTTGACAGGATTATCACCTTGCTTGAAAGTTTGGGACTCAGAATAGCAAGGATAGAGAAGATCCTAGGAATCAAAAATGAACAAAGAGAGGTAAGTTTAAGAACTTTGCTATTCAAAAATATTTTTATTTAAATGTTACTCATGTTGCATCTCTTATATCTCTTGCAGAGTGAGAAACAAGAGAACCAGACTCAAGAAGAAGAGACTCAAGAAAAAGAGGTAAGCAAATTCTGAAGTTTTTTTTTACAAAAAGTTATTTTAAAAATAAACTGTAAAAAAGCTTTATAAAACATCTTGCATCGTCCTACTGTATCTATCGTTTTCTCGCAACTTGAAATACAAGAGGACACCGAGAACCAAGAAGAAGAGGTAAAAACAACAAATAAACAGTTTATAAAGTTTTTATACAGTTTTTAACAAGTTTATAAAAGTCTATTTTAAGGATATTACGTTTAAACAGTTTACAAATTTATAAGGTTTATAAAGATTTTTTAAGGATATTAAACGCTTTAAAAGACTATTTGTAACCTAGATACACAAATTTATAAGGTTTATAAGGATTTTTAAGGATATTAAACGCTTTATAAAACTATCTAGATAGAGAGTCGAGATGAAGTCTATTTTTAACCATCTTATAAACTTTTTTCACGGTTTTTTAACAGTCTATACCATATTCTTGTATCATTCTGCTGCAGGTTAACAATGATGATGTTGATATCGGTGTGCCAAGCACATTTGAAGATTCGGTTTGTGAGCCCGATACGCAAGAGGCAAGTTATGC